TTGTATGTGGGTCTCTGAACCCTGAATCAGGATGAGGGTATTTCATTTCCTGTATTATCTTCATGGTCCCATGGCTGATCTGACACTGATACTATTAACAATTCACATTGTCATTACCCTAATTTCTGAAGCAGTAATACATATACTGTTGAGGTCATATTGTTTAATACGTTATTAACAGTTGCTGCTCTTTTAAACACTTTCATTGAATCAGAAGCTGAACAAACATGTTACATGTTTTTGGCTGAATGCTGGGGGCATTCAATATCAATATGAAACACAAATTTTCAGACTGAAAACTGTGTTTCTACAATAATCACACCCATTATTCTACAAACATGCTGTAAACCAAACACCCTCAACCTCACCGGGTTGTGTACTTTTGCAATATTTCTGAGTGGCAGTGAATAGAAAGAGACACCTAAAGTAACAAAATAACACCTTCCATCTGAATGATTCATTTGAGAATAAGTGCATTATCTTATAATTATCCTCTATGAATATTGCACAACATCCTGCTTCATTGAGGACAAAATGAAATGTACATCCTACCTAATTTACTGTTCTTGATTTCATTTCAAACATCAGACATAAGTAGTTGAGAATTATTTTTGAAACAATACAGAAACAAACTCTTCCACTTAAATATAAGTGTTTGGCAGGCATACAAACTATCAACAAACTGCCGGATTCCATAAATGTTTTTCAAATAACATTTCTGTGTAAACATCAATATTCCTGGGAAAAAAACATGATTAAAGAACAAACTACAATTAGTGGCAAAGAATGCTGCCTTAGGCCTAACACAAACCTTACCATGGTGGTCAACAATCACCTTTACACATTAAGCTGTGCAACTCTGGAAGTAGGTTACATGAATCACAGCAAGTTAACATGAATACTCTAACATAGTTTAAGAAAGTGCTTTAAAGCTATTTCCATTTAGTTCAATAATGGTATATTGTTTCACAGATAAAGCAAATTTGTAAATTATATTTTGAACAAATAGCTGTATGTAGTTGTTTTGTCATATTATTTACAAGTGTTCTAATACTTCTCTCTTCACATACAAAATGCCATTATGGTGGAATGACACATGAAAAGGTTAACATAGCAATATCAATACCTACACCAGTAGATATATTTTATATATCTGGAGTTCTCTGTGAGTCCCTACAACACTTCCCTATGTCTACTCATGGTCAGCAAATATTTCCTCTCTGCAGCTTGGGAACCAACATTATATCAACAATCGTATGTTAAACTGTAAACAACGGACCGTGGAATTTTACTTTTTTTCAATCATTTCAGCAAAAAACATCTCATGGAGTATCATGTTCTCATGAGCCATTGTAAAAGGGAAGTGAATTAAATAAATCTGTGGAATGGGTACAGCTGACAAAAAATGGTATATTTACATTTGACATTTCTTCACTTCATTTCTTGTTCTACTGCAAAGGATTATAGATTTTCTCAATTCTCAGGACAAGTAGTCTCCATTAGCCTTGCTCAAACAACCAACACACAAACAACTGATCCTATTTCAATTACTGAAGCCATCTCTCTCTCTCATTATACATTAGTATGAATAATATGTTAAAAAAGCAACATGTCAGGTGGCAACGCCCTTTGGTTGTTATGTATCCATGGCAATGGTGGTTCTCTGCTTCAGTGGCTTGACACACCTGGCAGTTGAAATAAGGGACAGGTGACTCAGAGACAAACAGCGTAACAAGTGACATGACCGTGTATCAATTATAACACCCACCTATCTGTATAAATAATTAACTGAAGATTAATGAGTTGTGACCTTCCCAGCCAACAGCATGACTGTTACCAACAAATAGGATGTAGTGCAGGAAGGAGGAGACACATTGTCCTATTGAAACAAAGCACAAATTCTATTTTTCTACGTAAGCAGTGAGAATAGAACATGAATAACACGTTGTAATTCTTTGAAACGATTGTTATCATCTTTATGCTTAAACAGTTGAGCTAATTGTTCTCAGTTAGAAAAAAGGGACACTATGTACAAACTTAAATTGATTATTTGTACGTCAAAGTTTTGCCAGCTGTGATTGAGGAGATGAACATTACTTCAAGAACCAACAACCACAAATTGAGGCACTCAGTATGATGATCAGCTTTACAGTTTTATTATACCCTAAAATGAAATGAAATCCTATTGATAACAAGTAAAAACATGATGCTATTTACACTTTGTAATTGTTATGTACATTATATTTAAGTAAAAATAACATTTACAAGTAAAACAAATGGAAGAATTACTGCATCATCTTCAAAATATATCTGAATATTCTTCCAGTTTTCAAGGACTTGTTTCATACCTGTGTATTTTGCAAATCACAAATCAACTGGCCCAATCAAATGCACTGGGCTTAATGATCTACCAACAATAATCAGAACAGCAAATGCCTTAATATGGCATGAGACAATACAGCAACAAAGTATCTCCAACTGACGAAATTACATTTATGTCCCATCTTCATGTTGCTCTTCCATGGTCTATATAGGAGATATGGTCAACGGTAAACCATAAATCTTGCATATGACATCCAGTAACCACTTGATCGTATGGTCACATGATTCCTGTACACACAACTCTACAACAATTCTACCAATCACTGATCATGATCTGTCCTTGATAACATCATGATTTCCTCCATCTTGATCAGTCGTACTAATCACCAATCTCTCCCCTCCCTAGTACATGCATTGGTCTGATCCCAGTGATTACCTGACAATGGCAGATACCCCCTACAGCATGACAATGTATTTACAATATTGTGAGCTCTGTAACACCTAATTATTCTATCAAATGAGCTGCACATATATAGCATTGTTGTGACAATACGAACATAGCAACAAGCATGGCTTGGTAACATATCACATTTCTGGTATATATACATGTACACAGTGAAAAACTGGTTATCATCTTATATTAAACAGAAATATGAGGTAACAGGGGGAAATGGGGAACAATATTTGTGAACTTAATACCCACAACTTAGTGTCACATTTTGTTGTTAGCAAATAAGTATCTTCAGGAAAGACATAATGATAACATCAACTACTAGTAATTAGAAAACAATAGGTTCTCAAATATTCCATTCACTATCAAGCATATATTCAGATAATATAAGGAACTCAGGTTTGTCTTCTGAAAATGGGATGCATAAAACATATTTATGCATTCCGTGTTTTGTCAGTCAAGTCCATAGTTTGACTTTCATGACTCTGGTCGAGTCATCTGGGCATATCAAACAATGGAGAAAAAGTAGTTTCATGTCATAGAGACAACACAGAATAGATGTTCCATTACAGATTCCACTGGTATATGAACCAAATGTTTTTAGTCAGGTACTTTAGCACATATTCACTTTAATGATATACAAGCAGCCAATTTTACTTATGCTTATTAGTTCATAGGTTACATAGGGGTCAAAATGGCTTTACTCTATATCAATATGGGCGGTGGGGTAGCCCAGTGGTCAAAGTGTTCGCTCGTCACGCCAAAGACCAGTGTTCGATTCCCCACATGGGTACAATGTGAGAAACCCATTTCTGGCGTCCCTCACCATGATATTGCTGGAATACTGCTAAAAGTGGCGTAAAACCAAATTCACTCACTCACTCACTATATCAATATCCTGAAATTTGAGCAAGTGAATTATCAATGAAAGATGTATGTTTACCCAACACCCATAAAAGGTTCAGGATTGTTTTAACAGCAGTGCAGTTTTGCTATTACAATAATTCACAGCTAATCATGACAACATAATACTTTATTCACATCATCAGTCGTGAAACTCCTGTATTGTCGGGCAGGTATGTAAATGGCACCTGTGCTGGGTGGGACATTATAACACAGCCATACCACACAGTCATGGTAAGTGTAAAATATATATTAGTATACATGACCCAATATAATATACATAAACAATGTCAAACACTGTATATTCATAAGATATGCATCCGTCATACTTCTCATCTTGCTAAACAAATGTCAAAACATATTAACTAAGTTTTACTCTTTTAAAACAAATGTATGTTTGATAATATAAATGTTTAGGTCTTTGCCATTAAAACATCCTGCTTCATTTTTTTATTTTATCTTAATCACCTTTCATGGCAAGTATGACATAACTTGCTACAGTCTCCTATCATGTGCACTTCTGAATATACTGAAGAATTGTGAAAAATAACTGTGACACATGGTTCATATTTCAAAACACAAATATATTCTTAATGTTTTTCTTTCAAAAGAGACTTCTCCAAGATCTTGCATCAAAGTGCACAGGCTAACAAGAGTTCCTACCAGAATACTGTCAATATTGACTGATTGTGGCAGCATAATGGCCAACTCCATACATTTACACCATGCCCTCATCACAAACTGTATATTCCACGTTTCCCACTCCACTAACACGCTTTTTGTCCTTTCACGTGAACATTCTTGTCTTCATGAAGAAGTCAGTTTGGTATTTGCATGGAACTATGCATTTCCAGTGGGGATTAGATCCTGAGAGTGTTTAATTGCTTGATTGATATTCATTGGAATTTCTTAATGCCATTCTGAACCGAATTAAGTTTAAACATTATCGCCTCCAAACATTGCCAAGTTAAACAGTAACGATGGCTTTGAAAACTCAGCACAAATTTTGGAAGTTTCATAAAAAAAATTCTGTGAACTCACAAATTATCCAGATAAGTCAGCTTTTTAAGCATGTTACATTTCTGTTTCTTCCTTGTGGGAGGCACGAACAAGGTGACATGCACCAGCCGTACAAATAGTGCCGGCCCTATCATTTTTCAGACGAAAAAGTCAAATATTGCTACAGGTAACAACTTGATGACAAAATGTGACAGAATTTGGAAAGGGGAACTTCCCATTCTGTGAAATCTTCTGTATCAATAATTATTGTTAAACACTGTGTTTGTATCAGACGGCATGAGAGAGCAGTGTGAAGTCAACATACCTGGAAATCTTGTCAACACTTGCAGCTAATGTGGACAACTTGGACCAAACACATCAACATGATGGATTTCTGAAGTCACTCATCACATACAGAAACAGATGGCATTCTTCATTCAAAGGAAATGTGGCCTGTTTAGTGGACAGATGAGGCAGGCGTGTCCTATGAAGTCTTGTACTGGAATTCTATCAATATTCTAGATGGTCTTAAAGTCCTTTCTAAAGTCCTTCAAAATACTTAGTACTAAACAGCTTGTTGATTTGTCAGTTAATATCCTTTGAAATGTCACCTTCTAGGTGCACTTTTCATATTCCTCAAAAGTCTTCTGGTTGTATCAGGGATCTGCAAAGAAAAGAATAAAAAATTAATGCTTTGTATGAAGGATGTCAATGTTCTGCTATGATATACGGTTACAAAGTCAAACTTAAACATCTGCTTGGCACAAGACATTATTTGTAGAATGAATAAATCAATGGTCTGTATAATGAATGCAAAATGGTTTAGTCAATCAAATGTAAACAGCTTCTACTTGGTTCAACATTGTTCTAGAAATGAACCTGTGGATGACAAGACTGATTCACCCAATACACTAAGCCAAGATACACATATCACACCATGTCTTGTAGCAAAACATACTTCACCTTAATTTTGTAATACAATTGATGCCATGTTACACATCTGCATACAAACCAAGCCCAAACAACTCTATAACCTTCAACACTTATCACAGTGACCTATGCTTGGGGGAACACAGAAATATTTTAGTTACATTTAAGTATCACTAAAACAATATATTCTTATTACACTTGTACATGAACTCTGGGTTTCACACTTCCCCAAGACACCATCCCGTCAGTATTTCCTGATGTATCAAGCATGTCCTTACCACACTCTGTCAGCACTTCCTCTCATCTCACACATTACAATCTGTTTGAATTCGCTTTCTGTATCAATATCTTATGAAACACCCACAGGTCTTGTGCAAATATTTTAACACGAATTCCACAAACAGCTTCTTCAACAGCTGAGTCTATTTTTACATGTCAAGAATAGGCCCTTAATCACAATGTGAAAAAATCTCCAGCTACGTAATTTAAAAGACGAAATATCCTGTTTTCCCCCATCCCCTTCTCCATCCTCAATGCCGTGGTCGTCCAAGTGGATGAGGAATAGTGGAATCCAGGAGTAGTGAGGTCATCTGCCTTCCTCATATAGATATACATATTTGTCTAGCCTTATCTTCATCACACATTTCTTAATCACTGAAGATACATGATAGCATTCATAGCTGATAGAATATGTAATAACAAAGTCCATGCATTACTTTTTCAGTTCTGTTCATGTTCTGTAATTATTTTCGTCAATCAGCATATATCTTGTAGTCATTTTTAAAATATGAGACCAGTTTACATTTACTTACACCATTTGTCATGTATTTATTTACATTCAATCATTTATAAACTAATGTAGTTTCCTTGCATAACTATTTTATAACACAGATCTTAAAAACAGTTGTTTGGGCTTGACAACAAACCCATTATAAGTAGAATGCCCCTGGCTCAGAAGTAAACAAGTGCTACTTACATTGCATGAAGCATCACAAGAATGATGACATTGCATTCCCTTCATTTTTAAAATGAAGATCTACATATTTGTTGAAAACCTTTGCAAACAAGTATTAGATAATATCTTGCACAGTTGGAGGTGCACAAGACAATTACTCTAACTAGAAACCTATGATTTACCAGAAGGACACGACCCCCCACCAGCTGATGTAGAGAAAGTCACATACCCTCCAAGGAGCTTCAACGATACCGATCTCCTTTCTAACTAAGCCCTTTGGTGTATAGATACAGATACACACTTCAATTTGTACGGCAGATCTTCAACACCTCCTGTAGGTAACCCATACTCATATCTGACATTCGATGCTGGGGTCTGCCCAGATACCTAACTGGTCTCAAGTATTTCAAGACATTAGACCACAGGATTGCCTGATACTGCTGTCATTCCAATGTTTTGTTCTCAGAAGCAGCACTGAATGTAATGGTTGATAGTGCTGTTATCAAAGTCTTACTGCTTGACACCTGTGATAGGGCACATAAGTCCCAGTGTATCCTCAGTATTACCTGGAAATATTCTACGTCAGTACAGTTTGTCTGGCTGGCTGTTCACAAGCATAACACAAAGCACCAATCAGGCATATTAAATAGTTCACCACCATTATTGTGTTCGGCGTGTAGTTTCTCTTCCCCATTAGTAGCTGGACCTCACTTCAACCATTATGTAGATACGATCAGATCACTGAATCATTATAATTTCCTACACTGATACCTGACAGGGGGGTTCTTGTTAGTTCATGGAACAATACCCATTATTGTTGATGTGGTGGCACATTATTGCAGGTAACCCTTGTAATTTAGTCATCTTTGTCAATAATGATAACATGATAATATCTGTATCTCTAACATTGTTAAGCTAAGCTGTACATACATTAGGTAATCAGTGGTACAATAATGTAGCACATAACTGTCTGGACAGACAGAGACTGTATGTTAGTGTAAATCTATGTGAATGTAGATGTAAGTGAATGTACGTGAACAAGCCTGAATGACACACAGAAGTGGTTGTTGGAGGGTGCAACATAATGCGACACCAACAACAAGCTACAACTCTTCCTTGAGAAATTGTTTTTACTAATGACATAAAAAAAAACAGGAATTATCTTCAAAAAATATATTTAACAAAAAATAATTCATCCACTAAATTTAAATGCCTGCAACAGCTTTCATTTTCAGATACATTCTCCCTTTTGATAAAGGTCTTCCAGTGAATGAATATTGTTTTGAAAGTTTTACACCGATTGTCATTGTTTAAGAACTCATTAATATAATCAAACACATTAGTGTTACTTTCCTGGTCTATAAATTGCCACACTCTGTGTGATTTTATCAAACTGATCTCACATCTTATCCTGTGTCACAAAGGCCTTGTGATAGCTTTATAAACTACTGGCTGTCCATGAGAGGGGCAAGGGCAACAAGTCACTATTGTTCCATAGTACCAAGTCAACTTTATTCACATCCCTTTGGCTGCCCCTCAAAAATACAGAGGCTTTTTTGCATAATCTTAAATGTTTCACTTCCTGTCAGGTGAATTGTAAATGTCTTTATTTTCTTTCTTAACACGATTCTGGCTTTTCATTGTGAACAATCATGCTTATACATGTACATGAAAATGCAAATAATCTGTGGAGACAATGAAAACCAGTGCAAGTTTATGATTTGTGTATTTCCATGCACTGTATGTTATGGTTCATTTGATATAATCACTGTGAAGTGTGTATTTGACATAAACACCCCAAAGTGTTTATACTGGATTTGAGCTGCGACTTGAAACCCTTCCCTCACAAGGATGTGCCATCACAATGTGAGTCTTAAACCTGATGACCAATTAAACATGATACACATTAAAGGGGTCATTTCAAACTCACTGGGTTATTCAACAAACTTCATCTAAACCAGGTTAATGAATTTGAAAAATCATGATGATCAACAATTACACTGAGGATATTTCTTGCTTGTGTTATCAAAAACTGAAAAATGCATGCAATAATTCACAGACAACAACTTTTTTTGACAATGTTGCAGAAGGTTTTGATATGGCCCCTGCCTAAATGGTCAATATTTGTGGCCAGTGAGGACAACACTGGACTGTTTGTCCATCAATCCAATGCCAACAAGGTGTCTCTGAAACCCCAGCCTCGACCAGCACACAAAGACATGGATTTGAGAGGGTAATCTCCTAACAACAGAGCTCCCCTACATTTCCCAGTACAGGATAGCTCCCAGTACAGGATAGCTCCCAGTACAGGATAGCTCCCAATACATCTAGCTACAGGCTTAACATACCCTCTTATCCTACAGTTGCCATGTAGGAGCCAATGTAGGGCCCTACTCAGTCAAGTACACCCAGGAACTCTGGTAAATGATAGGAAGATTAGTGCCGACACTTTTTACAATTTGTCTTAAAGTATACTGCAATTAACACAATCCAAAGTAATTATTTCTTTATATTTCTCTTTATACTTCAACTTATATATTATTATGAATTTATCACAATCGCATTTTTCTTCTCATCTATCAATACTGGTAAATCCATCAAGGTAATTCAAGCATAACAACATGACTGTACAAATTGTCTTAGCACTATGACACAAATTTGTGCAAGTGGTCATTGATATCATTTAGAAATATGTAAACTTCTTAAACTTTATTGATTAGACCAAGGAAAACCAAAACTGACATCAGAAAACATAATATTAATAGTTCAGTTTATGTTTATATGTCTTGTTGACGGATAAGGGGAATAAAGAATACAACTACAACAAAATGTTACTGTTTACTTTTAATAATTGATCAGAAAGATTGGCATAATCTCCCACAATCCTGACACTCAGGATCCTCTCACTGAGAGAGCAAAGATTTCCCAGGCTTGAGTTCACACGTATCTGGTGTGTCTTAAGAAGTTTGCACTTTAAACACAATAACATCCTACCTTACAACACACAAAAAGTGAAATGCTGAACTAAACTATACATATCTATACACCACAAATATGGTACACTGAAATCTGTGAACCATGCTAAATAACATGTGTGGCCTTATTTATTACTTAGGGCATATTGCCACAATAGTAGATCAAACTGCAGATCAGTTAGATCAGACAGAAGCCCATCAGGACTAGTAGTTCTAGTTCCATCAATGGTAATCAGAGCATCATGAGTATATGGGGCACTGACTCAATTAAATGTGGGTTATTATTACATACAAGATTAATATACTCCATACAATGTGAGCTAACAGAGAAACAACTGATGTTCAAATAACTTGGATCAAGGCTTGCCTGGACTGCCAATCTGTGTGAGCCTAGCACCTATTGAACAGTTAGAGCCATGTAATAATGGAGGTAGCCAGTTACTGTTGTATTGAAGTTGATTGTTAACCTGGATTAGTTCATGTGAAAAGTGTTGTATGGAGAGGTCTATTAAACAGTCCTAGGCTAAACAGTGCAACTACTTCAAAGGAAGAAAGCTATTTTTAACAAACACAGTGAGACCTCTTTCAGCCCTGTTAATGCCTACACCTTACACGCCACACATCTGTCTTTACAACACTGCTGCATGGTTTAAAGGGGCTGGTTTACTTGCTTCCACTCACTCTTGTTTACAGGCGACAATTACTGGTGCACCATGTTATCATACGCCCAGTTAATTCTATAAAGTACACTTTAAAAATGAGGATTTATGTTGTCTTCAAAACAGCTACTTTCAGGTTAATGTG